AGTTAGTTATTGAATACATATTGAACCTTGGAAATCTGAAACAGCCTGAGATAACCACTGCATTAGGAAATTACATGCCTGCTTCAAGAGGAGCCAGAGCCTTGCCTTTGGGCTTTTCTGAAGGGTTTGAAAATGTTCAAAATCCCCAAATAACACAAAATCTGTTACTGCCCTACAATAAGCCGTTGGGTTCTACTTGTTTGTTTAAATGTCAAGAGAATTCAGGGACTGTCCTAGCACAAACTGAAATTGCAATGGTTAAAGCCATCATCGAGTTAGAGAAAATTGGTGTGGGATATTTGACATTCCTTTTCTGGAATGTGCTCCTGCCTTTTGTGTATGACTAAGCAGATAACTGTGGGATGGGGGATGGGGCCTGACTCCAGGGTGCCTTCCCTCTGGGGAAAAGTGTTTTCTCCTAACAGATACTGGGCCTTTCCACTTGGAGCCTCCTACTGGCTATGAAAATTATGGCCCTGTAAAGCTTGGTAGTTTTAGAAACCAATAAAATAAAAAAATAGTGAAAGGGACTGCACAACATTACCACCACAGACAATGTTATCACTACCCTTTCCTGAAAAGAGAACATTTGATATACAAAAGGATGAAAGATACACTCTTCATAAAAAAGGGTAGTTCTTCTAGCAGAATAACTGAAAACCACCTTGCTTTCTCCGTGTATTTTTAGTTGGTATTCAGGAGTCAGTGCACAAGCACCTTTGAAGGAAGGCTGTGGGAAACTAGATTCCCTTTGGGACATTCCTAGTTTTAAGCTAGATTGCATTTGCACATTCTCAGCAAAATGATGCAGAAGTTATACAGGTATTAGGGAGGAGTTTGTAAATATCTTTTACACATATAACATGGGGTAATGGGGATGGCTGGAGAGGTGGCTGTTCTTCCAGAGGTCCTAGTTTAATTCCCAGGACCCACGTAGTAGTTTACAACGGGCTATAACTGTAGTCTCGTGGGATCTAATGCCTTCTTCTGGTGTGCAGAGATACACACAGACAAATCACCCATACACATAAAATAAATACACATATCTTTTAAAAAGCCCAAACACACACAGAGAGAGAGAGAGAGAAAGAGAGAGAGAGAGAGAGAG